AAATTTTTTTGTTAAATAAAATTAAAAAATTGTAAAGTGACTGCTAACTTTAATGGCATGGCTAATTTAATTTTCATCTAATAATTTTTTTTTAATTTTTACATATGGAATTTTCTTATTGAATTTTTTTGATAATAATTTCATTGATATAAATTTATAAAAAAATTTTTAATGTCAGTTAACTTTAGTGTCTTTAAAAATTTTAATGCTTTTGGTATAAAAATTTGTAATAATTAAAAGGTTTGATTCAAAATTTAATTTAATCCAATAAAAAATTGACATAAAATTGAAATTAAAAAAAATCAGATAATTTTTATCATTTTTTTTATAAATAAAATTTAAAACAAAATTTCAGCTGTCAGAATTTTGAGAAATTATAAATGTAAATTTTTATGAAGCTGAATAAGTTAGCTGACAACTGTCAATTTTTTGGATTTTTTCAACAAATAAATTACTATTAAAAAAAAGGCAACAATAAATTTTTTTGATGATACTAAAGTTAGCCGACGTTTTTAATTCTTTTATTGATTTTCATTTATTAAATTAGAACTAAAAAATATTTTCTAAAAATTGCACTTGTAGTTTTTCAAGTTTTTTACAAATGAAAATTTTCATGAAAATTAAGGTAGCAGATATTTAATTAATTTTAGAATTTCTTTAAGAAATAAATTAGTGCAAAAAAAATTAGAAAAAAAAAATTGACATGTAGAAATTTAAAAAAATTAAAAATGCAATTTTTTAAAATTAATTTTTTGGAAGAAATTTTTTTGTTAAATAAAATTAAAAAATTGCAAAGTGATGGCTAACTTTAATGTCGTAAATTTTTCTTTATTTTTTTGTGATAATTTTTCAATTAAAAAAAAATTCTGAAAATTTTTAAATGTCGGCTGACTTAATTTTCATATTTTTTTGATATCTACAAGCGGAATTTTTTAGAAAAGTATCATTTTAAATTTATTTGTTTAAAAAAATCATCATATGTCAGCTGACTTCAATATAATAAATTTTTTCAGTTTTGATTTGTCAAATTAACTCCAAAAATTATCAGATATCTGCTGATTTTAGTTTCATAAAATTGACAGTTAAACATAACCTAAACCTACCTTAATTTATAAACAAAACTTATATTTTCAGATCTCAAATGACATAAGAGATAAACTAAGCTGATCAACATATATTTTGTCACAATATTACCAAGAAAATAAATTTTTTAATAAGAAACAGATGACTTCAAATGACGTATGTATATTATCAAAGTACATCATTGAATGTAAACACTGACGCATGTAGGTATTTTATTTCTCGAGTACATATCAAATGCTGCCAACACAATTTTTATAGGTGGGAAAATTTGCTTACTCCCTCCTGGGCTTCTGGAGCACCATTGGACACCACACAGCACACTCTCACTAGGTGTACCTATATAAACGAACACCAACACATAGCAGAAGACTTTCATTACTCTAGTACATTGTCCGTGCCTATGTACTCTGTTTGCTTGTACTCAAAGAGTATCAGTGTGTGAACGTGGGATCCATGAGTGTTGAGTGTATATAATATATATATTTTTTTATTTTATAATATATTCCATCACCTAACCTAGTGTCTATTATTTATTAATATAAAATTCACCAGGTGAATATCAACAATAGTATTCCAGTTCAATTTTATCAACTAAATTATATTTATTTCTGTGATAAAAGACTATTAGCAATTATTTGGCTGCCTGGATTTTGTAATACTAGTACATCGCATTGCTATAATAATAATAATAATAATAATAATAATAATTTATTATTTAATTTCATGAAAATCTCATGATAATTTTAAAGCTTCAATTTTTTTATTTTAATCCCGCTATTGATGTAAACAAAAATAAACTGGTTAAATTTGTTATTTAATCTGAAATAACGAGTTGAGTTAGGAAAAGAGTGTGGTAGTAAATGTGAAGTGACAATTCAATATGGCAGGCCAGGAGTTATTGTCTGTATCATCAAGTTTGACAATAGCCCGTGGCGATAAAATAAATGTCACTGTGGAATCTGCGCTTCCTGACATCATCGTCGTCAGCTTCACCGATGGGCTTAAATCCTTCCAGGGTGCTTTGCTTGATATAACCAAGAAGTAAGATAATTCATCAATTTTATACCAGTCCAATTTTAAACTCCTAAATAAAAAAAAAAAATTATAAGTCTTTAAAAATTATTTTTAAAAAAATTTTATTTTTTGATTTTAAAATAAAAAAAAACCGTAATTACTTTGATTTCTTTATTCATTAATCTAATGACAATGACGTGATAATTGATAACGATAAAACGTTATCAAATCTAAAAATTTCAATTTAATTTTGTTATTTTTTTTTTAGGGGATTACCGTGTGGAATAAATCCACCTGAGGCAGCAGACCCCGACTCGGACAAATTGGTGACCCTGGCAACCAGGTTCACTTATTTCCAGGACAAGCGACCGGTTGTTAATTCAATAGGCCGACATATCAACGCTGCGAGACAAAAGTACAAAACCGCAAGGCCTACGGTGAGATTACGTCCTAGGCAGGTACTTTGTAACAAGTGCCAGTCGATTTGCAACGAGAAGAATGAGAATGTAGACGCTGGTAAAAAGCGCAAATTTAGAGATTTGTCTAAAGAAGACACCGGGTATCGCAAAAGACGTCCAGAAGATCATCCAGTTAAATTGTCTTCTCCATTAAGAAAGTTAACCGAGGCTGAACCGGTTCATGAAATAGAAACCAATGATTTTAAGAATTTTAAGAGTAAGACCGAAGGAATTAATGATGAAGTCAAAATGGAGATTGCTGAAGAAGTTGAGGCTGAGGAGGTTGAGAAGGAACCGATTGTTGTTGACTCTGTAAGGACAAAAGTCGGCCGGATTCCTAGGAAGAAAAGATCAGTTGGTTCGATGGAAGATCTTTGGGATGAAAATATTTTTGAGGATATTATTAAATCCCCGAGGACTACGCCGATAATAAAAATATCTTTTGGAAGTCAAGGAGAGGGAACGGTTCTGAAAATACCAGCTAAGACAAAAATTTGTCTGGATGAAGAGCCTGAAAAAGGGGAAATTATTTCAGACCCTCTGAAGCAGAGTAAATTAAACTCGGACAGCTTGCTCGATCTCCAGAAGACTGGTAAAGATTTGGCGTGCGCAAAAGCGGCAAAGCGAGCGCTTAAAAAAGCTAAGAAAGAAGCGCGTAGAAAAATTCTCGCTGGAGGAGTTTCACCAGCTAGATCTCCTTTGAGCACTTCTCCCAGGTACAATTCGACGTTCAATTCGTCACCACCACAAGCGCTGATGTATCACCGGCGCAAACACAAAGACAAGCACGAAAAGAAGAACAAAGAGGAGCGTAAGCACAAGTCAATGATTGGTGTTGAACCGATTGAGTCTAAGGGAGAAAATGACATAAGCTTGTTGAACCCGCTGAGTGAGGCGTCGGAGAATGATCGAGGGGATTTCAATTTCGCTGACCGCGAGTCTTATACGGCGATTAAAGAGCAGTGTCTCAAGCAGAAGCTGTGCATATCGCTGAGGCGACTTAATGCTAATGCTTACACTAGATGCAATTATCCTGTTAGTAATTCTTCGTCTGGGTGCAAGAGCTCGGGCACTAGCAGCGAAGAGCTCAGCGAAATCGAGCAGGAACAGGATCAGGATCATCAGGCGGAAAGACAACCTGCTGATAATAGCAGCAATCCTGAATATACTCCCGCTTCGCAATTGGCTATTAGGTTTACTACTACTCCAGTCGCGCATTATCTTTCTGCTACTGGCAGAAGGATGGATGTTGGTGATATTGTCTGGGGGAAAATTCACGGGTTTCCTTGGTGGCCTGGCAAAGTAAGTTCGGTAATTTGGTTCTATTATTTTAAAGCACAGGCTACAAAATTTTGAGATTTCTTTTATTTTTAAATTGTTTTGTACTTCAAATTAATTTTCTATATAAATATTTTTGTTAATTAATATTTTATATATGGTAAAAGACCCAGTTATTGACACTTGCAATTTTATTTTATTTATTTATTTATTTGTAAAGAAACGCCCTCGGCAATTTACAACAATATGTTACATTTCATGTGTAGAATGTTTAGTAATAATGATTTTATACAATACATAGCATCTCTAAAGAGAAGATAAATTTAAGAAATTAAAAAAATTAAAAAAATTTTTAAAAATTTAAAAGAAAAAATTTAAAAAAATTTGAAAGAAAAAAAAAACAAAACAAAAAAAAATTTTGGCAATTGATAATTGATAATCACTAATTGATAGAATATAATATATCTGATAGTTTATAATCACTATTTTGTACTCCTATTTGTACACCTGGAATGTTATTATTTTAGAATCACTCTTTTTGATTCACTTTTTATTTTATCTACTGGTCCTTTAAAAATGTCAATATCATTAGCATATTTTAATTAAAAAAAAAAAAAAACAAATCAACTCTGGTAAAATGATAAACATAATTTTTAAATTATAAATTTTAAGATAATTGGTTTTTTGAAAATATTTAATTTTTTTAGTCAGAATAAAATTGCAAGTGTCAGACAATTAGGTCAGTGTCAATAACTGGCTCTTTTACCTCAAGTCTAAATCAAATTTTTAATCAATTTGAAGTGTGAATTTTTTTCTTATAAAGCAAATTAAAAAAAAATTTTTTTTAATTTTAATTACTGTGTTTTGAAGTAAAAGAAGCCTAATTGTTTAGATATGGGGCTTCCGACCATTTTTCGATTATAAAATATCGAAAAACTTTTTTTATTTGTTTTTTTTCTTCATATCGAATTTACGAATCATTTTTTAAAAGCTTACAAAATTCTTCAATTAGTTTTTTTTTACTTTTTTTTTCTTCAGTTTAAAAATACCTACTTATCTTGTTTTTTGAAATTTTTTAAACATCAATTTATATAGTTCTATTTTTTCAGAATTGATAAAATTCAACACGATCACATCAAAAATTTTGGAAATTAAAAAAGTTGACATATCGGCTAATTTTTTTTTTTATTCTATTTTTGATGCAGGGTATAAAAAAATGTTGAAAAATTATCTTTAAATCATTAATCTAACATAAAAATTTTATCTAACATAAACCTTTATTCTTAAAAAAAAAAAAATAGCATGTCAAAATCTTCAAATAAATGTTTAAAAAATTTTAATGAAAAATAAGACAAGCTTCCTTTTTTTATTTTAAATAATGTAGGGGAGTGTGGGGTCCCCCCGGTCACCTAAAAAGTGAATTTAAAAAAATATTAAAATTATCATTTTGGAATAATAAAAAAGACTTTATTCAATTCTTTGACATCTGAAGAACTAAATGCAATTACTAAAAAATATAAGTATGAAGATAAATAAAAATATTTGAGGAATTATAGAAATAATGAGTTTGACCGGGGCGACCCAACGTGTTGGGTCACCCCGGTCATTAGGCAGGTCGCTCCGGTCAGTATTAATTTTATTTTAAAAATAAGAAATTTCGAATTATATTGTTAAAATTTAATAAAAATTTAAAATTAATTTTTTTATTGAAACTTTAGCAGCAAATAACATTAAATATTGGTAATTTTGAACATTTAAACTTTCTGTTTTTTAACTAATTTGTGTTTTTTAGGCCATACTTGATATTTATCCGTCGCACGAGTGGAAGTTATTCGTTTCCTTGAATTCTTTCTAGGTTCTTCTGCTGACTTACTTGTTTGGAGTTCTTCATTAACATTATCGGACAATTTAACTGACTTCTTTTGTGATTTTTTTTTTTTAATTAATTACAAAATAGTGGTTAGTTTTAAATAAACACACGAGCTGTCAAACAATAAACAATTGAATAAACTGACCGGTGTTACCCCACAGCTTTGACCGGTATGACCCCAACCGATAGTTGAGAAAATAAACTTTATTCAAAAGAAAACGATTAATAATTACAGTATAATAAAAATTCCCACTTATAAAGGAAGATTTATAGATTATATACATAAAAATTATAAATTTTTATCTTGCTGTAAACTATATTAAAAGCCTTACGGAAATGATTCCGATTCTTAGATCAAATGGGAATCAATTTTTTAATTTTTAATTATTACTAATAAATACTATATTTCTAAGTTTTGAATCTATTTTTTACTCTCTAGCTGAATAAGCGTACAAAATAAAACAAAATTCAAAATTTAAGGTATAGTAGATTTTTTTAAATGTTGGTGACCGGGGCGACCCGCTGACCGGGGCGACCCCAAGCTCCCCTAAACAAAAAATTTATTTTTCAAATTGCATTTAAAAATCTGCAATGAAGAATAAAATTGAAAAAAAAAAATTTAGTAAATTAATTTTTTAATTTTTTACGGTCATAAATAATTTTAACCCCGCATCTAAATAATTACTTGCTTTAATGCTTTAATTTGATTTCAGGTTTTAAGTTTATCAGTTTCTTGTAACGAAGACGGAACTTCAGGAAATGCTCAAGCTCATGTCGCGTGGTATGGATCATCCACGTGTTCTTTGATGTCTTGTGATCGTTTGAGTCCTTTTCTTGAAACTTTTAAGGTAATTCAAAAAGTTCTAAACTGGTTATTGATTAAATTTTACACAATACAAGTTTCGATAATGACAACGCTCCAATTGTAGGCAAGGTACAATAAAAAAAAGCGAGGCCCTTACAAAGAAGCTATACGACAGGCACAGTCGGAAGCACAACGTCAAATGTTATCGAATTCAACGACAAATATAAATGGCTGTGAATCACCGCGTGAGGTAAATGTTTTATCTTGATGAGCTAAATAATATCAGGTCAGATCAGGAATGTTTGTAACACCATCACTGCCATTTGACTGCATTAACATCTTAAATATATCATTATTATTATTTATATATAATACTAATTAATAATAACGATAGTAATATTATATTTAAAATAAATTAAAAAATTTTGTAAATACATTTTTTTAAACTTAGATGAATTTTTTATGGTTGTTACCAATTAATAATTGTCTCGAATGGCTGAGTAATACTTATCTGGATTTTTTAGTGTCAGTCTATGACTGTATTAACATACAATCGTGGTCATTAATTTAATGTATGTTTTTAAGTTTATTGGAATAATATAAGGTAAAAGACCCCATTAGTGGCATCTTTAACCCCTATTAGTAACAATTTTTCTTTCAATGAAAAAATGTTCTACTTGGAATAAAAATTAAAAATTTTTTTGATCTGAAGGTCTTAAAGATTATAAATATTATATTCATTATTGAAATTAATGATTTCATTCATTGAATGAGTACCAAAATCAAAGAAAGTGAATTAATTTGAAAATTAGTTGATAATGTCATTTGTAAAATTAGTCGCAAATAAAAAATCATATTAATGAAATTAGCGAAATGGAAATTTCACCAAATATAAATTCAGTCATTTATAAAATAGCAAAAAACAAAAATCTATGACTACGTGAATTTAGCCAATTCTTAGGGCCAGTTTTTCAATCCGAGATAAAATTTTATCCAGGATAAAATTATTATTGCCAGTGTATTTATATATATATATATTTTATCATTGGATAAAATTTTATCCTGGATTGAAAAACTGGCCCTTACTGCAGAAATTTATAAAATTAGCCGTTTTTAAACTTCTTATAACTTTTGAAACGGTCCGTCGAATCTGCTCTAATTTTCAGAAAACCTAAATTTATGAAAGTCCTTTTAGATACCTCAAATCGTTTTTTGATCACAAATTTTTATTTTTCGCTATTTTATAAATGACTGAATTTATATTTGGTAAAATTTCCATTTCGCTAATTTCATTAATATCATTTTTTATTTGCGACTTATTTTACAAATGACATTATCAACTGATTTCCAAATTTAGAGTTAAGAGATTACATGGGTTTCGCGATATCAAAAAATTGATTTTTTTTGTCTTATTAAATTCTACAACATCTTTAAAATATTTTCCTAAAAACTCAAATCGATTCGAATAATAGTTTTGGAAATACAGTTTTAAAAAGTTGTGCGCTCGAGGTACTGTTGTATTGTCATTCAAAACTTTGAACGCTTTTTTCTCAAAACTATGTTTTCAAAGACGGTTGTCAAGATTTCTCGAGAACTATTCAACCGATCTTGATGAAATTCTAAACAGGTCTTAGATAATTTACAAGGTCTTGAACGAAGGATTTTTGTTTTTCAATTTCAACTATTTAACAAAAAAAAATGCCGCGAAATTTTAGCCAAATTTTTAATTTTTTCTGTAAAAAACTGCCAAAAATCCAATTTTCATTTTTTTTTCTTCGTTAAAGATCTAGTTTGAAGTCTTAACTTTAGTTAAGTGTGTGCTTTAGCACATATTTTTCTTTTCACTTCTGATGATCCTGCTAGGAGTTCTACTGATCACGCGGACGCATCTTTTTTTCGCAAACTCGCTGGAAATAACGTCATATTAGCAGAGTTTTTAATAGTTTTTTTTTAATTTCAATAATCTCTTATTAAACATGTATCTTGAAGACAGTAAAAAGTTTGAATAAAATATTTCATTTTTTCTATTAAAAAAGAATTATTAAAAATAGGCCATTTTTTCCGGGAAAAAAATGTAACCCCTTAATAAACGTTCTAGTTTACAAACAGTTATTTTCCAGTAATATTAAAAACATTTAAATTAATGACTACGATTGTAAATTAAATTAAATAAAATAACAACTGACACCGGCCATAATTAAAAAATAGTAATAATAATAATTAATATTTATTGAGGACATTTCTTCTAGAAAAACAGTATATTTATATATTTACTACTAAAAAATCATCAATCTAATGAATAATGTCTTTTAAACATATTCGTGATAATAATACATAAGAAATAAATTGATAAAAAAAAGTGTATTTGTAATATTATAAATACAATTATTTTTTTATCCAATACTGAATCAACAATAGATGATTTTTATTTTTATAATTTTTCCTTTCTTTTTATTGTATTGTAATTACTTAAAACGAAAGTATAAAACCGAGCTTAGTAATTTTCGGTGCAATTAACATTTTATTTATAATTTATTTTTAAGGTCGTATATTTTGTTAACTACACTGAACAACAGTTGCATTTATATTTATATAAAAAACTTGCTATGCTTTTATTTTAAATGACGAAAAAAATAATTTTAATAATGTAATTTAGTAATATAATTACGCATTAAATTTTTTTGAATAATTTTTTATATTAAAAAACAAAATGTTGTACTGTGTTTCCATACTTTTATTATTGTTATTTAATTATTACTGTTATTATTGTTATTGTTGTAATTGTTGTAGCCATTTTTATTTAAAATTATTTTAATTAATCTTAAAAATTAGTACTTCTTTTTTATTTGTAATTAGCATGTCGGATTATGATTTATTTATTAAAATAACGAGAAGCGTTCAAGTATTTTTAATAAAAAAAAAAAAAAAATTCAAGTAAACAATATTAAATATTGTTCATAATCAATGCAAGTCATAAATGCAAATAAATAAATAAATAATGTACCTATAATTGATTTAAAAAACAAACATTGTAAATATTAATAAATCAATATTTATTTAATAATTAATAATAAGTAATATAAAAAAAGATAATTCATCAATAAATGTGTTGTGATGTAAATTATTTTGTATTTATCGTCGTAACTTTAATACTTTATCTATCAAATTAAATACACTTAAGTAATTAATAATTATCAGTAATTACCACCCGATATATTTCCTTTCGTCTTCCATAAAATACTCATAGCCAATAAATAATAATAATAATAATTTTTTATTTTATTTAAATCCAATTTTTTTTATCCCGCATTTTACTGATGACAATAATTTATTATTATTATTATTTTAAATTATAATATTTATAAAAACTATACAATAAATGTGTTTCAATGTCTTTGTATCTTAAATTGTGATTATTGATCAATAAAAACGATTGTATACAAAAATTTAATTAATTATTTATCAATCAAAAAATTAATTTTATTTTTACTAAAGATTTTTTTTTTAATTTTTTGATTTAAAAAAAAAAAAACAAATATTGTAACAGTATAATTGAATATGTTAAGCCAATATTGTATTATATGGTGAATATTCTGCAATTGCGCAGAGTAGCAACTCTACTTACTGACGTACAAGTTAAATCAACCACCAGTGGTCCATCAAAGCCCACCCCTAGTTGTAACAAGCGTAGTAAAAAAATTTCCGAGCACCTTTTATATTAATTTTAATAAATAAGTGTGTAAATAAATAAAAAAATAATAAAATTAAGTTAATAATTTAAGCCTAAAAAAATCAATATTTGTTAGCGGCTCAATAATTTAATATAATAAAATTTTAGGGGTGAATCCTACTATTTGTAAATGCAATGTCAGAATACCGAGTCGTCGCTCCAATATACGACAGTGAATTATTATTAAATTATTTATGTTTATTATTAAAATTATTTAGTGACTTGTGAATAATAATTATGATACACGTGTCATCACCGACAGCACAAAAGTTTGATCGAGTTAAACGTAAGGGTGTAGCGTTTTTATCTGGATTATTTAGGACCAAACGGCTGATTGTTGGGATGAAGATCGACGAGGAGGACAAAATGGAACGACCTAGAATTGAAACACCTGGTGAGTTACTTTTTTTTTTTTTTTGTATTTAAGTACTATTAATTATTTAAGGTGGAATAAAAAATTAAATACTTGGAGGTGAATACTTTTTAAAGTGTCCTAGGGAGTGTTTAATCGATACTGTAAAGCAATGTAATGTTATTAATTATTCGCAGCGATAGTTTCAAACAGGATTCCATCGAGTTTGAGTGTTGCCGCTGTCGATGTTGTACTCAGCCCGTCGTCAGTGAGTCAGTCTTCACCCTCGCATTCAATTCTCACCCTCACGCCGGGACGGACACGAAACATTGATCAGGATATGGAGGCTCTTCGTTTAAGTCGACAAGATAATCCATTTCTGCAGGTAAACACTTTTTTTTTAATACTTTTGATTTTTATCCTGAGATTTAATTTTTAAAAAATTTTTTAGTTTAAAAATCTAAGTACACTGAGAGAAAAAATTTATTTTGGAAAAAATGAGCAATTTTTTATTACAAAATTAATTTCATGAAAAATTTTATGTCAGCTAAAATAGAAATTTCTATCATAGTAATTTTTTTTTATGAAAAATTTTTCAGTTTAAAGAAAAATTTTATTTTGGAAAAAATGAGCAATTTTTTATTACAAAATTAATTTATTGAAAAATTTTGTCTTAGCTAAAATAAAAATTTCTATCATAGTAATTTTTTTTATGAAAAATTTTTCAGTTTAAAAATTTAAGTACACTGAGAGAAAAAATTTATTTTGAAAAAAATGAGCAATTTTTTATTAATAAATTAATTTTTTGAAAAATTTTATGTCAGCTAATATAAAAATTTCTATCAGTAATTTTTTTTATGAAAAAAAAATTTTTAATTTAAAAATCTAAGTACACTGAGAAAAATAATTTATTTTGGGAAAAAGGCAATTTTTTATTACAAAATTAATTTGTTGAAAAATTTTATATCTTAGCTAAAATAAAAATTTCTATCATTGTAATTTTTTTTTTATGAAAAAAAATTTTAAATAGACAACTTGCTAATTTTTATTAAAAATTATTTTTTTTTTTAACTCAAATAAAATTTTTTTCAACAAGATAGTTAAAAATTATTATTTCTTCAACTAAAAAAGTTGGTAATTACTTACAAGTGGGGTCAACCCAATTTTGGACCATAACTAGGTGAAAAATTAACATTTTTAAATTTTTTTTATTCTGCTTGTTTTTCTAATGCATTTATAAGAATAAATGTAGTGAAAGAAAAAATGAAAGATTTTCGATAGTTTTTTTGCCTTCAAAAGTTGGAAAAAATTTTGGCTCATGTTTTTGGATAAAATTTCTATTTTATCTTTTTTTGATATATTTTTTGCGACATTCTGCAAATGGATAATCCAAGTATTCCAAGAACGATATACAATTACATTGGAACATTATGTAAAATAAAAGAATCTTTTTTGTAATCTGTACCTGAAATATTTTCACGATTTATTAGATTTAAAATATTATTTTTATTCTTTCTTTTACAATTTTATTATGTGTTCATATAAAATCTAAACTTATTGTAATTTAAAGTATACCTCTAATAATGCATTTAATGTATCTATGTTTTTATATTTTTTTTAAAGTAAATAAAAAAACGAACAATTAAAAAAAATTGAATATCACAATTTTCTAAAAAATTTATAAATTGTTTTTTTTTTTTTAAATAGAAATTTTGTTCAAAAAAATGAAAATTAAAATGGTTGACCCCACTTGTAAATATTTACCATAAAATTATTAAAAATTTTCAATAAATTAATTTCTTGTCTCAATACCAATTATTTTCAAAATTAATTTTTTTTTCTTATTGTAAATAATTATGGTATTAAAATTGAGAGACATCTGATGATTAAAAAAAATTTTTAACAAATGAATTATAACAAGAAAAATTTATTTAATAAATTCCATTTTTAGACGCTCTAAAAAAGTATAAATACAATTTTTTAAAAATAATTTTCTAGACCTAGTTTATTTAAAAAAAAAAAAAACAAATTGTCATGTGTCTGCTAATTTGAGTGACATAAATAATTGCAGAATTAAACTTACCATTAAGTTTTAAGAAATTAATTAAAAAAGTTTCAAACTTTGGGTCAATATTGAGATGCAATTAAAATTTATTTATTAAGTAAAGGTTGAAATTTATTTTCCCACAACTGACTGGACAATAATTTAAATAAAGACTAGCAATAGTTAAATAATTCTAAAAATAATTCAAGGTCTATGCTGCAATTATTTAAATTATTTTAGTTTAAATCAATAATTTAAAATTTGGTTTGCGGCACAAAAGCGTTGTTACATAAACCACACTTTAAAATTTAAATATTTACGTAATTACAAACCTACTAAGTTAGCTGGAGGTTGAATATATAAGCGAAAAATATCTATATATATATATATAGATGAATTTATATATATACATTTATACAGATTTTAGCCAGCCGTGAGAGCCTAATAGAATCAATGGAAGAGTCTGAGTCAGACGATGCAATATTAATGTCCCAAGAATTGGGTGACGCGGACCCACTGACATTAGCTCAAGTCCACGAGCATCTTGTACGAAGCCCACCACCTGCCTCGTGGCCTATGACACCCGCCTTTCCCTTCAGTCCAGTACCCGTCGATAATTCGTGTCCGCTAGCGATTACACGCTACAAGACTCCAAGTCCTTCAAAGAACACTTGCTGCAAGCGAGACCGCATTACGGATTCAAGTACGCTGTCCAAGAGTGAGCCTTCAAATGACCTCAGGGGTGGGTACCTACAATTTTTAAATATATCATAATTATTATGAACTAGCAATCTTGCAGTCACTATGTGACTGCAGTGAATTGTGAAATCTAAACAAATATAATTTTGCTTTGTTATATAATGACTTTTGTTAAATTGCACTGAACTTTTTCAACTATTGACTTTTTTAAAGATATAAGCTCATCCCGATGTTACACTCATCAAGAGCTTTCATTTGAGTACCCACATGCACTTTTCATATATTTGATATATTTGTATGTTATATATATGATATTTCTCATATTTGTGAAATATATAAAATATATGAAAAAATTCGTGTGGGTATTCAAATGAAAGGTCTCGATAAGTGTAATTCCAAAATGAGCTTATATCGTAAAAAATATCATCAATAGACAATATACAACGTCAATTCTTTATAAATGATATTTTTTTAGATATAAGCTCATCCCGATGTTACACTCATCAAGAGCTTTCATTTGAGTACCCACATGCAATTTTCATATATTTGATATATTTTTATATTATATATATGATATTTCTCATATTTGTGAAATATATAAAATATATGGAAAAAATGATGTGGGTACTCAAATAAAAGGTCTCGAAGAGTATAAAACCAGAATAGGCTCATATTTACGAAAATGTTAATAATTAAGGAATGACCTTGTATCTCGTGAACTATTGACATTTTTAAAGATATAAGCTCATCCCGACATTACACTCATC